GTTAGATGTCCAATGTAAAGATCCCTTACCTTGCCAGCCAGGGTGGCAGGGCCCAGGAAGAGACAGGCTAGGTAGTTTTAGCTAGAAGGCCTGGCAGAGAGCTGCTGGAGCCATCTTAGTTTAGGGAAAAGCTCCAGTTCAGAAGGGGGGAGTGGCCGAGGCCTGTGCCAGCCCAGCAACAGCCAGGATTGGTTTAGGAAATAGGGGCGGAGTTAGCCAGATGGAGGGAAAGAGAACAGTTAGTTTTGACAGTTCAGTTTTTAGTACAGCTGAGTTCTGAGTAGAGTAAAGAGCAGTTTTAGTTCTGAGAGAGAGATTAGAGTAGGAGTTGGATTGTTTAGGAGTCTCTGTTTAGAATAGGCAGCTTGCCTGTAGTTTGCACAGCACAGTAGGCTGTGGCAGACTGAGTTACAGCTATTTTGAGAGAGAAAATAGCTGGGTTTTGGTGTTTAAGAAACTGTAACAAAGGAAAGAACATTCTCTCAAGAAACCATTACGCTTATAAGTACCAAGAACACTTTTTATTGTAACCATCAAGCCTCTGAACCTGCATTCTCGTGTTATTCTGTATTTGTAATCAATAAACTCTTTCTTGTTATTTTTAAACTTAAAGCCTGAGGCAAGTGCCATTTTTGGTTTTGAATCCTTTCCTTTTTGAATCAACCTCTCCTGTTTTCCCCTCAGAGAAAGCCCTTGTTAATACACAGTTATTGGTGGAGCAAAAAGCCTTCTAATAATTTAATCAGCCTTTTAACATTTTAAAAAATAGCTAGAGGGTTCGTGATTTCTGTAGTTTGGTGGCAGCGAAGGTTTTACACAACGTGACATCCCCTCAAACACTAGAAAAGCCGAAGTAGAGTGAATTCCTTATTGAAGGAAGGACAGTGGTGGGATTCATTTGGCTCCCCTGTCCAGACGCCTCTTCTTCTAAGTTATTATAATTGGTTTGCAGTGGTGGGATTTCTTTGATTGTTCCCCCCTGCCTTGATAAGCCTCTCGAAGGCCTTATATCCTGCTTCTTCAGAAGGTAGCTTTGGGAGGCATTTGTCGTAATGGAAGTAGTACAATAATGATAAACATGAATACCAAACACTTACAAATGAATAATTCTATCTTACTCATTCGTAACTTTTCAGGAGGATCCCAGCCAATGTATTCCACCAATAGCAAATAGCTAGCATGATTGCAATAAAGGGTCAAAATAATACATGTATAACTGTTGCGGATTTTGTGAAGTTTTCAGATATGAAAGTACATGACAATTCAAATTAAAGCAATGAATTTAATGTGCTTAGTACATTCAAAATCTACCTCAAAGGACATTGCTAACACTTAACTTCCTACATAGAGCAGAAAATATTTGCAATGATTCTCCAAAAGTGTCTCTGTAACCAGTGTTATAGACATCTATTTTTAAAGTATTGTTAGATGTTACTTGCATGACATTGTTTGTGAAACAGAGGATAATCTCAGGAGGGGATAAAACCAAGAGGAATCAAGTTGCAGTTAGAGTAGGGAAGGCTTTTCTTTCTAATCAGGCATTTGGTTAAGATAATAGGCTTGAGGTTCTAATTGATCATGACTATTTTAAGGTTTCTAAAGGTCTGTGTATATTGAGATACTTTGTAAGGCAGGGCTTTTCCTTGTTGGTATAGCTTTGTGATTTAAAAATTAGCTTTTACAGGTTGCATGATGAGTATTTAGAACATGCATTTTATTAGCCATTTATTCACCAATATTCTGTGGGTGTGTTGGTTGATCCTGTAAAAAAAGAAAGGATGCATATATTCATGTAGATTTTGAAGTATGTTTTTTCATGCCGAAGTGGTTATTATTTGGTTTCTTACTGTTTTATATGTTTTGTTAGCCTTTTATTCCTTCCTTCATTTTATTTCAAGATTAGGCAACTTTTGTAGGTTTGAGGGACAGTCTTCTTTTGATACCCTCAGGAGGGGGGGATTGTTGTTGTGTGACCTAAAGTCATTTCCGACTTATCACAAACCTATCATAGGATTTCCTTGGAAAGATTTGTTCAGAGGGGATTTGCCTTTGTCTTCCACTGAGTCTGAGAAAGTGGGACTTGTGCAAGGTCATCCAGTGGCCGAGTTTCTGTGGCCAAATGGGGATTCCAACTCTAGTAACCCAGAATCCAACACGAAAACCACTACAGTATGCTGTGCCAGAAAATAAATGACTCCAGGTGTAGATAAAAGCCCACTTTGAGTCTTTGAGTTTTGATGTTTAACAGGGCAGAGGAGCCATGTAATTTCAAATGTTAATTTTCAGTCCTGGAAACATCTAGGCCAAAATCCACATGGGCAAAATTCACATGGCCACATTTGTAAACTCTTTTGACCAGGAAAAGTGCAATCTGGAGATCTTGGACTGGTTGAGCCCTGCAAAAACACACACACACACACACACACCCAGGTATAGTGTCCCAGATATTCACCATAACAACTCTAGGCTTATAAATTAATATTATATTTCAACTTCCTTTCAGTTAATTTTCAGTACACACAGTCCAATGTGGGTAGGTCAGATACGGTCACTGTCCCAAGAATATCTGGGCTCCCTTTATAAATACAGATATACTGCAACAATTCTTCTGAAATCCTGAGGTTTGTAGTTTGTGGAAGCAGTAGAAAACTTTTGTGTCTAAGAATTTGAAATATCCTTCCCAAATGGTAAATCCCAGGATTCCACAAGATGCTACTATGACAGGAAGAGTGGAATCATAGAGCTATATATGGTGTAAAAGGGTCCCTGGGAACTATAATGTGTGAAGACCTTAATATTTTAAATTTCAGCCCAAACCTCTAACCCAGAGGTAGGCAAAATTCAGTCACGTCATTTATGTGACCCATGTTGACCCTCCAGCTTCCCCAGGCAGCTGTTTTTTCTTGTCAAAAACAAAGCTGGATTGCCTCTTCTGGAAGTCAGGAGCAGAAATTCAATGTTTAAATAGGTTGCAAGTAATGTTTTTCAAATCCAGAAATAATCTGAGTCACTTTGGATATTTTTTCAATCTATGCAGCCCCAGGAGGGCTTTATGATGACAAGGTGTCCCTTAGACCTATTTACCTCTGCTTAAACCAGTTCCAATGTGGAATAAAACAGATGATAAAATCCACTGTGAATAAATAAATTAAAAAACTCCAAATCATTTATAAATTATTACAGGAAATGTGCATAATTTTCTCATTATTCTGTACAGTTTTTAAAATACAATCTTACATTGTTCTCATCGATCAGGAAATTTAAAGGGCTTATATTCACTAATACCTGGGGGAAGGAATCCTTTCCTGAGATTATAAGCACACAGCAGATTTACTCTGGGGTAATTTATGGCTTGAGGATGCTGCACACAGTACTAAAGTCTTCATTGATTTCTGGGGATAAGTATTGTATGTTGAATTTATTCAAACGCTTGCAGCTCTGACCTTCAACTTACCTGGGTAGCTGTCCAGGAGAAGCATTAGCTAATAGGTTGGTGGGGCCCAAATCCTTCATGCAGCTTTTAGTGTTGGTTGCAAATTCTGCAATCCTGATTGAAAGTAGGCGGAAGAAGCTGGCATATCCAGGATCCGAACTGGTGCCTCTGCACCGCAAAAACATGCTTGCAGCATTACATTATTTATCGGGAAACCAATTTGAATATTTTGCCTGAATGAAAGCACTTCTGAGATTACTCTCGATAATACTGTCAATACTGGATTTCTTTTGCAGGAATAGACCGGTTATTTTAGATTTTTGATCAATCTGTAAATCATTCAGAGAGAATTCAATCAATCCTTGCAGGTCACCAAATACATTTTACATTGTGTGTGAGTGTGTGTGCTGCAAGCAAGAAGTTAATTCAGTTGATGAATACATTGAAATCAAATGGAATATTCACTATGTCTTGTGTTTAATCACATGGAGTCTTATGTTGCATTAAATAGCATATGTCTTTGCTCATGGATGTTAGAATGGGTAACCTTAATTAGGACAATCTTAAAAAAAATATGGCACATCCTCCGGACAGGAATGACTTTACAGATCTTTTCACATTCCTTTTATCCTCTGTTTTCTTTGACCCAGCTTCAAAAGCAATAGGTCATGCTAGCCTATTAGCTATAGACCTTTAATTTAAGTCCTGATAGATACTTTGTGCAATAATCTGTGTGGTTCAGCAATTCCCTTTGCCCATCCTGCAGTTTGAGAGCTTCTTATTTTGTAATTGATTCTACCCAGAAAATTAAATTAACATTTGGTGATAGACATGTTTTTACAGAAAAAGGGAACTACTTGTTATGGGAAGTGTAATAACATTTTGATATAAAAAAATCCTTTACACAAATGAAATCAGCAAGCAACCATATGCCCTGTCTCTTAAAGAAATTCAGAGGATTAGAGTTAAAGCTTTCTTATGCAAAGATTTGGTTTCCCTTTTGGAAAAGCTCATTTTAAAGAGGCTTTTAAAATATATAAAACATTCTTGTTCTCTTTTCCTTTTTGAAAGGCATTCTTTTTCAAGATTTTTTTAACAGCTGCTATTTCAAGATCTCCCTAATGTAACCACAGAAAATGAAGAGTACATCTTTAAATCTTGTTTTGTTTGAATGAAGGAGTAGATAATCCTGATCAGATGTTTCTTTGGAGAATAACATTTAAAACGATTATAGAACTTAGTTATCCCATCTGATTCCTAGGTACAGCATTTTAATTTCAGTTGTTGAGTTGTCAGGGTCATCTGAGGTAACTGTTTATGAAAATGAGCTGCTTTTGTTTCAGATTTCCAGCTGTGATGTTTTAATACATGCAGTTCTCTCTGTTAATGTGTCATGTTAACTTCCCTAAACTCTAACCATATATCTGCCTACCTAAATAGCAATTAGTGATAAGTGGGAAATTAAATATTCAATTTCTTCTACATTAAACAGATACCAAGGTATTTGAGAGTACTGTTATTAAGTGCTTAAGGCTAATCGCATCTATAATTTTCTTGTGTTTTCTAGGACATTTGGGCTTCCAAGACAGTTTTGTCACATCAGGTGTGTTCAGTGTGACTGAACTAGTAAGGGTCTCGCAAAGTAAGTATAATTTCTTATTATAATCAAATATTTTTAATTTCAATCTTTCCCTTTATTTCTCTACCCTGCCATAATTTCTAGATGAGGTAATTTGTAAATCAGATAATCCCTGTGTTTTCGAAGGCTTTCATGGCCAGATTCACAGGGTTATTGTAGGTTTTTCAGCTGTATGGCCATATTCTAGAAACACTCTCATCTGACGTTTCGCCTGCATCTATGTCAGGCATTCTCAGAGGTTGTGAGGTCTGTTGGAAACTAAGGAAATTGGGTTTATATATCTGTGGAAAGTTCAGGGTTGTCACCTTGATTAGCAACTCCAGACAAGAAACAAATCAGGAACAGCTAATCACCTCTCAACAAAGGATTCCCCCAGGCCGTAACAAGCCACACCTAAAAGCTGTCAGGCCATCAAATGCTAATCAAGGTGGCCAATTGAAACATTCACACCTAGCTCCAGAAGACAAGATTTCTTTCTCCCACTCTGGATTTCCCACAGATATATAAACCCAATTTTCCTAGTTTCCAACAGACCTCACAACCTCTGAGGATGCCTGCCATAAATGCAGGCAAAACGTCAGGAGAGAATGCTTCTAGAACATGGCCATGCAGCTAAAAAACCTACAACAACCCAGATAATCCCTGCTATACCTTGTCAACAACTACTTAGAAAACTCACTTAGAAACATATTAAGAAAAGACATTATCTAGTAATAAGTAATAATACCATGATTTCAGAAGAATTAGATTGTTAATTCTGATACCTGATTTTTAAGCAGAGGCTAATGGCCATCTGTTGGGAGTGCTTTGATTTTATATTCCTCCATGACAGAGGGTTGGATGGGATGTCCCTTGAGGTCTCTACTATTCTATCCCAGAGATTGCTGCCCTGGAAAAAGGAAGGTCACTTCTAGTTTGAGGGAAAGTGACTTGGATCTGAGACAAAAGGGTAGCGCACTCACTTTCCACTGAAAATTTTGGAAGGGGGCAAGAACAGCCTTGTTGGTCTGTATTCAAGCAGCTACCATTTCACTTCTGGTTTACAGCTTCCTAGCAATTTTATAATGATTGGTAAATCCATATAGAAATCCCTGTGCCTTCAATCACAGAACATCAGATTTTATTTTTTATTTTTTAAAAAAATCCTTTAGTTTTAAATGGGTTTTAAAATTTTATATTGTTTTTATACTTTTAAAAATATGAACTACTTGGATACATTTGGATATCAAATGATGTCAAAATCCTCTTTATGCACAACAGTACATGCTTTCTGTTTATGCTGTCTGTCCATATGTTTTGCATCTGGATTATACAGCACTGATGATTTTTACAGGTGTTATGAATCTGCAAAAACTTACACAACATGAAGTCATGTCCAGTATTAGCGAACTGATCGCTCTCATACTTTTTTTATACTCCAAATGAATAAAGACTTTCAAATTTCTGAGGCCTAAATACAATGGAATCCTGCCTTTTAAAAGTTGTTGCTTTTGACCTTTGAAGAATGCTGATGCCCTTCATCTGAATGGCATTCTGCAGTATGATCATTACCAGTTTGTCAATATTCACTAACAACAGTGAATCAGGAGTACCTGTCACCACCCTGTTCCATTGATCAAAGGTCCTTTTATTGTATTTTACTATGATATAATCCAGACAGTCCAAGGAGACATGGACACCATTGTGTCACTGTTGTGCTGCTGCTCTGATGATAGCTAAACCAGAGCTTGTCTTATTGGAGATTTTCATGTACAGTGAAAAACAAAGTTGGAATATGCCTTTCCTATAATACAAATTCTGTACAACGTTTCCTTTCCATTCAGAAGAAGAAGCTTTCACAGCAGTCTTCATGCATATTTCCTTAACCATATGTATCATATCCTCATTAAACAGAATGAGATCTCTTTGTAAATGCATTGCACTTACTTCTTCAGCCCATTAATCATATTTAGATATCCAAATGGGTGCAGTATTTTAAAACTATTAGCTGAGATATCCTCCCTCCAACAACATATACACACAGGAATTATTATTATTATTATTATTATTAATTTATTTGCTGCAGAGTTCATGTCCATATTCAATATATCAAATGTACTTCTATGGCATCTGGAAAATCCAGAAATACAGGTTGTTCTGGTATTGGCTGAACTGGATGTGTGCTCTCTAGTTAAACGGATAATAGGAATACATTGCAATTGCTGCACAAACAGGTATATTGAATGCAGAGTCTCTGGCAATAAAAACTAGAATGAAATGTAAGTCATAGATTGGCATAAGGTGGCACCCTAGTGTTTGAAATTTGCAATAATTCTCCTGCTCAGCAGCATGAATCACTGATGCTTAAAAGAATAAAGAACATAGCGATCTCTCTCTCTCTCATGTACAATCTGACTCCTCACAATCACCTTAGCAGGTTAATCCTCCTCATTGATGACCTTCTGATCTGAAAATTTTCATAAGACTAGGGATTTTCTTGCTGCTGAATTAGGACTAGAACTAAAGCTGAAGGTGCATCAAAGAAAAGAGGGGGAAACACAAGAAAGAAGTTATGGATCAGGTAAGGATGTATAGGTTTAGGATCCCATATCCAAAAAGCTTGGGACCAGAGGTATTTCAGGGTTTTTTAATATTTCGGAATATCTGTATTTGCATATTTATTTATACATTAGGAAATAGGACCCAAGTCTAATCACAACAATAATTTGTTTTCTATAAATAAAGTTAATAATAATAATAATAATAATAATAAAGTTATTATCTTATAAATAAAGTTAATAATAATAATTATAATATATACATACATACTACTTTTAATCACTTTATGCTTGAAACCAGTTCTATATATATTGAACCACTAGAAAACAAAGATGTCACGATCACAGCAACCTATGTGGACAATTTTGGATTTTGGAATATTTTGGAATTTTGGATAAAGAATATTCTACCTATATTGTGCCCTGATTGTCATAATCAGAACCAGAACCTTCCTATTCCAATCTGGCATTGAGCTACAGTGGTGACTATGGCGCAGCTAGCTGGGTGTCAGCTGCATTAAGATCACTACTGACCGAAAGGGCATGAGTTTGAAGCCAGCCCGGGTCGGAGTGAGCTTCCGACCAAATTTGTGTAGCTTGTTGTCGAACTTTGCAGCTCGAAAGACAGTTGAATCTGTCAAGAAGGAAATTTAGGTACCACTTTCTGGGGAGGCTAATTTAACTAATTTACGAAGCCATAAAGATCAGCGAGCATGCGGGGAATGAGGAAGTACTTCATCAACGTCGCAGATGGACGGTGAAGCGACAGCTCTCCTGGTGGCCAGAAAAAGTTGGAATGTTAAATAGCCTCTGACTGTCTGTCTATATGTATTGTGTGTCTATGGCATTGAATGTTTATCATGTATATGTACGTTGCAATCTGCCCTGAGTCCCCTGAAGGGTAAGAAGGGCGGAATATAAATACTGCAAATAAATAAATAAATAAATGTTAAAGAGCATAGGGGATAGAATAGAACCTTGTGGGACCCCACAGGACAAAGGCCAGGGGTCCAAGCAGGAATCCCCTAGCTTCACCGACTGAGTGTGACCCTCCAGGAAGGATTGGAGCCACTGCAAAGCAGTGCTCCCAAAACCCATTCCAGAAAGCTGTCCCAGAAGGATACCATGACTGATGGTATCGAAAGCCACTGAGATGTTCAGGAGAACTAACAAGGACACACTCCCCCTGTCAAGCTCTCTGCTGAGGTCATCCACCAAGGTGACCAAAGCCCTCTCTGTACCATGACCAGGTCTGAAGCCTGACTGTGACATATCCAGATAGTCAGTTTCATCCAAGAATCCTTGGAGCTGAGTCGCAACCACTCGCTCCAGAACCTTGCCCAAAAAAGGGAAGATTTGAAATTGGCCAATAGTTATTCATTCCTTAGGAGTCAAGGGATACCTTTTTCAGGATTGGTCTTACTATTGCCTGTTTTAGGCAGGATGGAATTTGTCCTTGACTCAGAGGGGTATTTATAATCCTCACAAACCACTTGGCCAATCCCCCACTGGCTAGGAGATTGAGGAGATAAGGAGTCATCTTTGGAGGATGCAGTGATGTGTGCTTTTGGTCCTAGCAGGGACAAGAACCTTTTCTCTCCAACTCTTGACTACAGTTCCCCAAAGTCCTATTAATCATGATAAGGGATTGGGGGTATTAAAGTCCAAAACATCTAGCAAAACATATTTCTCTGGATATAATATCCACTATGTATCTGCTTAAATACTGTGAAGGTAAGACCTCAAGTGATCTCAAAAACTAATCAGGATCAGGACTGGTTAGTATTTGGGAAGAACACCACCAGAGAGTACTAGGTACTGCAGGGTCTATCCAAAGGAAGGTAATGTGAATAATCTTTGCCTAAAGACCCTGTAACATTTATGAGTTTGCCATAACTAGAAAGGCAAATTGAAGCCATTGGGCCCACACTATCTGTGGGGGTTTGGTCCTGGGATGATCACTATTTGTTTTTCAAACAGTGGTGATGTGAACAAACATGCTCCAGTGGGTCCAGCTTCACATAGTCATTTACTAATGTAGGGGATGATTATCTGCAGTTGCTGGAAATGTATTCCAGAACCTCCCACAGTTTGGAAACCATGAGTAAATGCTTTATTTTCACACTTGGAGCAAAAACAAATAATTCACCCCCCCCCCCCCTCACTCACCTACTTCCCCATAGAGCTGAATGTAGATGCAGCCCCTTTGCTTTCTTGTCTGGGAGAAGAGGGCTGCTTGTCTCTCATCCCCACTTGACAGAGTTCTTTTTCATTGTTAGAAAGAAAGGGGGGCTTTCCAGCCTTCTTCAGGGCAACAAAGCAGTGATGGCAGTAGGAGCAATTCTGCCCTGCCCCCCCCCCCAAAAAAAAACCCTGAGGCTGTTATGAAAACAGCAAATAAATTAAACCATGAATATGGGATCTACCAATATGGGAGTCTTCTCATCAAATTGCTGTTCTTAGGAG